ACTGCAACTCCATCTAGGACAGGTTGAAAAATTCCCAGTTGGACAGACAGACTTCCCACTAATAGTACAGTAACAGGGTCCAGTCTTGCCTGGATTGAGCTTCAGCCATTACTGAGCTCAGGCACTGGTTAAGAAGAGACACTGCCTCACCTGGATTAGATGAAAATGAGAGGTAGAGCTGAGTGTCATCAGCGCACTGATGAGACTTCAGCCCAAGCCTCCAGATGACCTCTCCTGGCAGTTTCATGTAAGATATTCAAAAGCATGGGGGACAAAATAGAGCCCTGTGGAACTCCATGACACAAAGGCCATGGCGCAGAGCAAAAGCCCCCCAGCACCACCATCTGGAGACAGTCAGCCAGATAGGAGCAGAACCACTGTAGAACAGTGCCTCCAACTCCCAATCTGGCTAACCTCTCTAGAAGGATACCATGGTCAATGGTATCGAAAGCCACTAAGAGGTCCAGGAGAATCAACAGGGTTGCACTCCCTCGGTCTCTCTCCCAGCAGAGATCATACTATACGCTGGCCAAGGCAGTTTCTGTGCTAAAGCCAAGCCTGAAGCCCAACTGACATGGATCCAGATGATCCATTTCTTCCAGGAGAGCCTGGAGTTGTCTTGACCACAACGCACTTGATCACCTTGCCTAGGAAGGGGATATTATTGAAGTGATTTGCATCAGCTGGGTCCAGGCTGGGTTTCTTCAGGAGTGGTGGAATCGGGTTTTTTTTTAAGGTGAGTGGCACCAGTTCTTCTCTTAAGGAGGCACTGGCAACCTCCTGGACCCTCTTTAGACTTTTCAATCCACCAGGGTGGGCAAGGATAGAGCAAGCAGGTCATGGGTCAGACTGAGGCAAGTGTGCTATCCACATCCTCAGGCTGCAAAAGCTGGAACTCGTTCAGGAGAATGGAACCGGTTGGTGCACTGAACACCTTCTGTGGATGGAACTGGGATAACTGTGGTGCCCAAGTCGCTATGAATGTGAGCAAATTTAACCTCACGGTGTCATGTATATTCAGCACCACAGGCCTGCAAGGGTTCAATCAAGTCTAGCACTGCAAGAAGCCTTAAGAGAATATTAAGCCACCCATATAGGTTTGGCAGTATAAAAATTAAAATAACAGTGATTATAATAGCAAATATACAGAGTAACATGAAGTGATCTGATGTATGAGTGCATGTTTAGTCTGGTGGAAAGAATCTTTGGATATTACAGAATAAACAACTTCATGAAAAATGACTGAACCATAAAAATACCTATTTGCATTAAGCCTTGTTTACAGTTTCTTCCAGCTAAAAACATTAGTCCCCCTATTTTCTTAATTCTTCTCACTTGTCCAGGAATTGGTTCCTCGAACAGGGTCTCCTTTACTCTCTGACTCATTAGAACCAGTTCTTATGAACACATTACACCAGCCCTCCATCGACTGCACTGGTTGCCTGTTCCAGTCCAAACTGAATTCAGGGTTTTGACTATGACATATAAAGCCCTAAAGGGCTTAGGACTGCACTCTCTTAGGGAGTGCCTTACTCCATAATATATCCCTGCCCATTGTTTCAGATCATCAATGGAGGCCCTCCTATGGGTTCCTCTCCCTAGGAAGGTTAAGGGGAAGGCTGCAAGGAACAGGGCCAATTGTGGAATACAGGTGCTTGCTTTATTGAGTTTTAGGTGCCTGACAAAAACTTCTCTCTCGACACATCTATGGCATTAATTAAACTATTTATAATGACAGCACTGATTTTAATGCTAAACTTATTAATTTTACTAATTTATGGTTTCCCTGATTGGGTATATTGCATTTTATTTTGTTTATTACTATATTTAACTGTATTACTTTTTCAATGTTATGATTGACCTTTTTATGCAATGGCAACCCAGAGAACATAATGATAATGGGTGGCTTTTATAAAAAATTAATACATAAATAAAAATAATTAGCTTGCACCACCAATCAGATTAAGAAGCTAATTAAATCCCCTGTAAAGTTCCAATAGGTAGGCTGGAACAATTTAATGACTGCTGTTAAATTGTGTTGAATTGCATAAATGTTGTCTGCATAATTCCAAATGTGCAAGTAATGGAGCAACTACCCTTGTAAAAAATCTGGAACTGGTAAAGATTGATGGCTATATTTTCTCAGATTTGGAGGAGGTTTCCAGTTGTATCATCTCTAATTTATGACCACTTCATTTCTCGGAATGTGTACAGTAGAGGCAAAGTTTGGCATCATATCACCTGAGTTCTTATCACAGAAATTTCTTCATATTTTAATTCAGTCAACCTCCTACGGTTTACCTTAATTTTACATTACTCCCTCAAATTCATACTTTCAAGTACTATTACTCTTAAGAATCCCTTATCTAGTCTTATTGTTTGGGGTGAGATGATATGAACACTAGGATTGGTAGCTGGTTGCCTAATTTTCATTTTCAGGTTATTTGGACTGGGAAAACTGTTGCCCAGTGGAGAATTTCTCTGGGGATTATTATTTGAATCAGTCAGGGAAATACTAGATCAAACTTGTTTACCATCATAATCTTATCCTATAAAATTTCAGTCCCTGGGATAATTCTAGGGGTAATTTTACATATATTACTAATTTAGAGGCTAGTGTTATTGATTACCTGTTAGTCCTTTCCTGCTTGCTTCTGTAATAGAAAAAATATTTTAAACAGTATGGAAAGTGACTATTACTCATTTAAGCTTGCCTAGGACTTTCATATTCCTTGAGCTCAGCCAACTTGTTTCTGTAACTGGAACTGACAGCTCTTGGGAATGAAGGGATTGTGACAGTCTAAGGAACTTTTACATTCTATAATTCTATAAAATCTGGGGAACTGGCGATACTACATCCCTAGTATCATCTCAAAAAAGTTCTTCCTTTAATCAGATACAAGCAGATCAGATATTTTAAAGCCTGCTTTAACCACACCCTACATTTCACATCAGAAATCCCATGGATGCAACCTTTAAAAAAAAAAAAAACCAGAGCTTGTAGGTAGAACAATCTGGGGGCAAAATAACAACTGTTCCAGGCCTTGTGCTGCCTGGCAAAGCCCATATGTGTGCGATGCACAGAGACCATAAAGAATCAGCTCTGGATTCAGCCCCATGCATAACAATTAGCACAGGCCCTGGCATACGGTTGCCTTTGATTTGGCTGCAACAGAAGGGATTGTAAGAGCTCTGATGACTACCTAGTTAATTGTAAAATAATTTCCCCATAGTTCTCTGGTGATGTTGCTCGGTTGCTCACCCATTTAGTATCAGCTGCTGAGTGATAGTTTCTGAAAGCAGGCAGAAAGAGACTAGTGCTTCTAACATTTATAGGCGGTCCGTATCGCACAAATTCATTTTTGATTGGTTTGGGAAATGTCAGGCTGATGGACTGGAGACTCCAGGTAGTGAGGGACTGGAGTACTGACAGCTGGAAATGACTGTTGGAAAACAATGTCTGTCGAGAAGGGTGGTGAGGTGAAGGCACTCAGCTGGGGCCTGGGTAAGAAGCTATTCCTTCCCTGGATGATAATTATATCCTGCACATAAAGAGCAAAAAAGGGAAGCACCGTTGTGTTATGGTAGAAGGCCAGCCTGTGTTAAGGGTTTCCCAGAGAGGAGTTACTTGCATGGTGGCTTTTAAACCAGATAAAGAAGCCAGTAAAGGAAGAGCTTGGCCTCAGAGAAATGTGGTACCCTTGGTGATAAGTGAATTTGAATGGGATAGCAGTATGGGGAAATTCGCCTGAGGTTAGAAGAAAATTAGAGGAGATGCATGGATCAATGGGTATAATCTACACAGATATAATGATGCAAATATCAGCATATAACTGGACCAAAAAAAGAATTATTTTCCTTAGCCATCAGCACATGTGCGGCCTTGAGATGCAGCTGACACTAACCAGGCACCATTCCAGACACCAAACTGACACACGTAACAGATAACAGCCCCAACAAAGGGCAGTTCTCCCCACCCACTCCTTAGACTCACACCCCATCCTCCTCCGCTCCTCTGAAGAATCTTCTTTCACTTTGGAATGCAGGCTGGAAAGATTACGTAACTTTTGCTTCCATAACCTATTGGAAAATGTTAACTGTGCTGTATGTAATCTTTCAATGCTCCATGTATAAAAGGCTCAACTGAGGACTGCTCAGATGCACCATCTGAGAACACTTCCTTGGTAGCCAGTTATCTCAAGAATCAATCCTTTAACGAAAACCTTCCTGTGTTGTGTATGTTGGGCATATATACCCCATTTGGTCAAGAGAGACTTGTATCAAAGTGTCTCCTGAGCCGTTAGAAACTGTCATTAAGCATTTCCCTAAAATCCCAAAGTAAAAAAACAGTCCTTTGTATACAAAATAACATTTTAGTAAACGACCTTAATTGTGCACACAGTCTCTAGTGTTGATGCCCATCTCACACCTATTCCTATTACACTAAGCTACTACAAGGTTTTAGCGTATTCTGAAAATTGGTGGGTGGCAGCCAAAAAATGGCAATTTGTGGAACATTTGCATTAGTGTGACAGAGAGTTCCTTGGACCCTGACATACAAACCTTTCTAAATATATATATATATATTTTAAATCTGAACATGAATTCCAACTATCAACCCATCCAAGTAATACAAAGTTTATCTTAATGACAGATCCTCAGATGGAAAACTTCAGAATTATTCAATTACAGATTGAAATGGAGAAATTTAATCACTGTATCATGACAGAAAGGTTTGAGTAAGTGAGACAGTTGGATTCCACTGGGATTTTAAATGTTCAATTGTGGCACTAACTGTTTTCTAGCAGAGTTTTACCACAACTCTCTGCTGCATAAATTTAAATTAAAAGCAAAAACAAGTCATTAAAATGAATATTTATTCTTAATTAGCTTAAGCATACATAAACATCATTATTCAACAGATCAATGAAAATCGTATTTAAAGCATAAAAGTTAAGAAAACATAAATTCCCTATTCCCAATATCCTAAAGATATTTACCTTTGGATTTAACTTCAAGGTAATTAGATGATTCCGACTACAAGAATCTTCTGCTTTTAACCTGATGATACTAAATGCAGGATCTACAAACTCAACCCTGGGAAAAGAAAGGGAACAAGCTTCAGCACATTTCCATTTGTAACTTACTCCTATTAATGCACTACAAATATAATATTAATCAGAAACTACCCATAAGACAGCCATTTCTGCTCTTGCAGATTTATTGCTATTAATATACCAGTCAGTTGCTTAATGCAGTCATATATCTCTGGGTTATTTACACTGTGTGTCAGGGCTCACGCTGTGGTCAGTGAGTGCTGTGCTTCAGTTTTCCACCACTGGAACCTTTGGCATACACAGCGTGTTTCTGTCAGTCTTTACTTATGTACACATTAAACTTCCTGTCAACCATTTCATCCAATTCTGCAGTTTCTTAAAGCAGAAGACTTGTGTGCTTTTACTTCCTTTTCAATCAACTTTTTATTATAAACACTGATACTGTACAAACTTTGCTATACTGGGTCATATATTAAGCATGATCTCTGAAAATCTTTATTCTGAACATTAGCAACAAACTCGCATTCAGAGTCTGTAAAATTAAAATCTGAATAGGAGAGTCAGGAAACAGATCGTGCAACACACCTGCCTACACTGAAGTGCACAGACCAGAACTGGGCGCAGCCAGCCATTACTTTAAACTAAGTTTACACAGATGCTCTCAGGGTTCCATCCCATAATGATCGGAATGGCTGCATGTCTGCATTATGCCCAGCTCCAAACTTCTTTCCAATCTGAGGCATCCTCCCTTGGGATGCTGCCGGATGACTTCTGCCCTCTTCCCAGCCTTCACAGCTGAGCAACTTTCTGTTCTATAGGGTTCCTAGAAGCTACCTCCTGACACCCCTTCCAAAAGTAGGACATGCAGAGGTTCCTGCTAATGTAAGCTGGACAAGTGCCCGAATGGAGGCAAACACACTTCACAGGCATGGCAGAGGTGGCATCAACAATACCCCTGGAAGCAGTGCCCTCTCACATGCGGAGTCTGTCTTCGCATACGGAATATTCCAGCCTTTCGGATCCAGCAAAGGGTTCCACGCGCAGTTAAGGCAGAGGCGGGCATGCCTACTTCAGGGCAGCACTTGAACAGGGAAGAAGCAGGACTTCAGAGGGCTCCCCTGGCCTGCATGCCCGAAGGCACCTCTTCCCTGGTGCATCCTGCAACCTGCCATCCTTGCAGCTCCTGGCACTGACACCGCCAACGGAGACACTGGCGGCCACACTGCCCCGCCTCTCTCAGGATGGCGTGCCCGCCCTTGTGTAACTGGGACAAGATTCTGCATGTGATGTCCTTCCTTAACATCCATCCTATAATAATAAGGTAGCACGATTTTCTGACAAGAATAAAGCATAAAGAGATCAGAGCCTAATACTGAGTCTGCTTGGCTGCAGCAGCAGCCCCTGTAAAATAATATACAACCAGGAGGCGGATATGTTGCCCTAGTCCTAACTATTCTGAAGGGAAATCAAAGTTCAACAATAAATAACAAACTATGTGGAATACCCTTTGCTAAGGCAAACAAAATTTTCTTTTATGTGCAGGATCTTCCCAGTCATTCTTTAAAATGCATTAATAACTTCGGTTAAAAGAATAATTAGAAGCAAAAGCTACTTAAAATGCAAGCCATAGTATTAAATCCATTAGAGTACCGTATTTTTCGCTCTATAAGACTCACTTTTTCCCCCCTCTGTGCGTCTTATAGAGCGAATGTGTGTGTGCCCGATGCCCCGGACGCTGCTGGCCCCGCCATGTGGCACCACCTGGCCGGCAAGCGCTCGGCGCGTGCTGCTCCACCCCGCTCCAGCGCAGGTGAGAACTGTGCCGGTCAGGAGGAGCGGTGCAGAGGAGGAGGAGCCGTGGGCTTTAACCCGCCGGCTGCAGGGAGAGACGGACTGCTCACCCCCACCACCCGGGAAGACCTGCCGCCACCACTGCCACCGCGCCGCCCGGAAGACCACTGCCAGCACGCCGCCGGCCCGGCTGCACCTCACCTGGCCGGCACGCACTCGGTGTGCCCTGCTCCGCCCCCCTCCTCCGGTGTAGGTGAGAGCTGTTAATCACAGGTCGGTGTGTGTTTTCAAATGGCAACCGGTCTTTTAATGAAGCCCATGGGGAAGTGATGGGGAATGTGCCTGTGATTATCAGAAAGCTTTCCATGGATTCCTCCTCTAAAAACTAGGTGCGTCTTATGGTCAGGTGTGTCTTATAGAGCAAAAAATACAGTAAATCCAAATTATACAATTTCCTCAGAACAAGGCTTGTTAAATCTAAGCAATGTTTTTAAAAGACCACTATTAATAAACATAACATACTTATTCCATCCCAAAGTTTCTATATCTTTGATAAGGCCAGAATAATATTGCGGAGGTGGTGGCACATGCAGTTCCGCTGTATTTTTCAAAGCAACTTCCTGTTAAAAAAAGAAAGGTAACATGCTGTCATCTAGGGCATTCATTTTTATTAAGCAGATAAACTGATCAGAAGGCATCAATTCATAAGGCTCCTAATTGCTTCAGGTCTCTGAGTAGGCCTGAAGGAGACTTTGCTGAATCAGAATGCACAGGTTCTCCTTGGAGCAAAAGGAACTAAGCATGTGCCCACCCAGAGGTTCTCTGTGAGAGCTGATGAGCCCTGGCAACAACCTCTGGGTGGATGCCTCAATCCCGAGTAAGGACGAAAGGGAGAAGAGCAGAATCCCATGTCCTCCCATCCCAGAAGGGATCAGTCTCTGGATTCTGCACAACATCAGGGCTGGGTGCTGTATCAGGGGGCCAAGGGTGTCAGCTGTGCCCAGACACTGCAGCCACCCCCTCCCCCCGATTCCCTGCAATCTAGACAAACAGTGACAGTTTTCTGCCACTTTTCTGATTTCAGTTTAGACAATTCTAATATGAGTTACTGACCTTTCTTTTTCCTTCCCAGATTTGGAGTTTTTCTTTGTTGTAGCCATTATTAGGTAAAAGAAGAAAAAGTGGGAGAACCAAAGCAAAAGTGCTCTTTTTTTTCACGTGCATAGAACAGAAAAGTTCAAAAGCAGAGAAGACAAAGTTCAAGGTTTGTAAAGACAGAGAATACGAAAGAGAGAAAAAGAGTGAGTGACCCGAGTAGAGAGTTTGCTGACTGAGAAACCAGAACAAGCTGTGACCCAGGCAGAAGCCAGACACTAACTGAATGGGAGGAGCCACTGCAGCCTGGCCAAGGTAAAATGCTTGCTCACATGTTCCCTGCCTCTCCTGTGCAATGGGAGGAGCTGACCCATGACTGTCGTCTCCTCACTCAAGATACACCACGTTTGATTCTTGGTATACAATTCAGAAAAAAACGTGACTATCTCTGAAAATAAGGAGTTATAGGGGTTGTTCTAAAATGAAGAAGGGTATCATCAAATGTTGAGGTAGCTTCCAACTTTATTTTCAAGTTCAGCCTCTAAGGACTCATCAGGTGATTAAGCATGCATTTCCACTACTCTACCCGTTCTTGCCTCCATTTCCTGGCAGTGGCCCAGCATCTCATCTGCAGAACAGAGCCTTGCATCAAAGAACAGGAAGTCTTTTTTAAAGTTATAAAGATAAAAAAAAAAAAAAAAATTCGCCCCAGAGTGCGGTAAGGGGAGGGCACATTTTTAGAAAATAATTAAAATAAATATGGATAAAATGGTAAAAATCTTTACAGGGAGTAAATGAAAGCAGGCAGCATGACTCTTTGTTGGTGATTCCAGTTTTCTTTGTTAAAGGGCTACACGAGCATGTGAGCATCCGCACACAAACACACTTATTTGGTAATCTTGAGGGGGCAATGATCCTCTAAAAAGAACAGTCATAAGATAATGCAGATGAAGAACTATGCGGTACCATGCAAAGGATGCCTTCACGCAGTGTTTTATTTTATTTATTTATTTAAACCATTTTTATGCCGCCCCATTTGCAAAAAGCCTCGGGGCGGCTTACAACAATAATAAATAAACATAAATAGTTTGTACAATTAGAGTTAAAAAAAATGGAAACATCTCAGCATATACCTAAAAACCCCATAAATACAATTCATAAATTAACAATTATATATCGTATATATAATCTTATATCTTATATAGTGTTTCAAACATGTACTAAATAATAGCATTTCCTCACTGAATAATATGATTATCTACATAGTGGAAAAATAAGATAAACTAATTCATTGGGGGGGGGAATCTGGATCATGCACAGTGAGTAACAACTATACATTCAATGTGCTAAAATCTGCAGCATTCAGTGCCCTGAGCACTATTCTGATCAAAGCATTTTATACACCTTGGATAACTATTAAAAAGGAAAGCACACAGAAACAATGACATGTTATTTTAAGATTATTGTATAATAAGGGTCCCCAGACTGTATATGAAGCCTTCATAGAACTAGAAGAAAATTGCTCAAGCTTCCATCATATTCGATGTTCTGGAACTTCACTCTTTAACCTAAATACAACAGCAGTTGCTCTCTGGAAGTCTGAACCAGAGTTCCCCTTACAACGATTACCACTCCATTTCCGCTTGGCAGTTATAAAACAGAAATCATGACCATTGTATGATTGTGTCAGTTATATTTCTTATTACAAGTAATAAAGACACATTCTTACTTGGCTAGTATTATCTATATATGGCATACCCAAAACATTAAATAGCATGGAAGCGAATGGTTCCACACAGCTTCCTATTTCCCCCTTAATGGGCCCCTAATGGGAAAGAAAAATACAGATGCATGCTAACAGACTGTTCCCTAACCATACCATGATGGACATTGTATAAAAAAATCCAAAGAGCCTTTATTGCCAGGAATTAAACAAATTATTTTCCCCATTCCAGCTAATGAAGGAGGATATTCAGCTACATTATATACTGGGCCAGTTTATAAACACAATCAAACAAGCTACCATGGCTTAAATAAATTATGGTAGCTTGTTTTAATCCCTGACCCGTGCCACACATCATTTCTCAAAGACCCACCTGGGCGTGGCTTGCCTTGCTGCCCAAATCCAGAAAGTATGGCTCACCTTGAGCGGGAAACAGCTCATAGGTCATTTGGGGGTAGTTTCCCCTCAAACGAGCCACAAGGCTTTTGGTCGCTGGCTATTCTTCGGAAGTAGCACTAGGAAAACAATTTCTTGCAACAGTTGCATTTGCAGAATTCTATCAAAGTTTCTAACTGTGCATTTGCAAATATTAGATAAGAAATAGCACTGGCTTTAGACAGTAGAGCCAACATATTTTTAGAAGGGTTTCAAGAAAAACTGCCATTATTAAGGAGCAACAGCAGAGAAGGTATCTCTCACCTATTATAGATGCAAATAGACAGGTATCATTACTCCACCACTATACAGTTCCTTACCAGAACAGTCTTTAACTCCACCATGAAACTGACAAGATCCGAAGAATGCTGCAACCTCTGAAAAACACATTCATTTTGTCATCTAATGCACTTCCTTGCTATTATATTGCAATTATTTATTCTGCTAGAAATGGTCTATTTTTTATCAAGTACAGCAAGTTCTTCTGTTTACTATGGGTTATTGGAGGAAGAGACAAAGAACTTCTTGGAAAATATTTTATTTGTAATCTGGTTCCTTTTACCAATATTTATTTCCGATGTATTTTTTTAATGCTGAAAAAAATAGTGTATCGCAACCTCTTTGCTTAACTCAGTTTATCTTCTCTATCGTCTATCAAACCTTCTCTTTCCCATGACTTAGTTTTTCTCTTTTACCTCTTGATTTGGCAGCAATTCTTAACTTGTCAAAAATTTTTTCCTGATTTCATCATCAACTGCTTTTCTGCCTGCTCTGCCACAGGTAGCTGATTTTTCTATATTTTAACCCAATTCTCTCCAGTCAAACACAAATGTCACACATCTGCTCTCCTGTCCCTGAAATTGACTATGTATTCATGGATCACAGATACAAGCTTGCACTATTCTATTTTTCCTTTTACTTTTCCACTTCTGTGATATCAGTTCCGTTGTGGTGCACTACAATTCCAGGTTAAAGAACCTACTTTTAATCTCGTGGTTGTGTATGCTTAATGATACGCATACAGGATGTAAGGTGAAACATGACTGAAGTGATTCTCTGAAAACAGACTCAAAGGAAGATCATCTGTTTCATTCTTGCTTTATTTTGGTAATACAACTTGGCCAATTGCTTGCCCAAAGCCCACGGTGGTGGTGGGTGGAGTTACTTACTCTCCATAGTGCCTGAGTTTATGCTTGGGAGCAAAGAGAGGGCTGTGTGTATGGAACCCAATGAGTTTGGTGATGAGAGAAATACAGCATTAGGAGGAAGGTTAGTCAGATAAAGGGAACACAACCCAGACAGTTAATGGCTGTGCCACAGTCCAGTTCCCAACACACCCACAGGTTTGCTGGTTGCCCCATCGGCCTGTCCTTTGGCCTCCCAATGTCAAGTTGGTCCATCCCTCACCCATCTGGATGAGGCAGCCAATCTGCAGTGCATTTTCAAGAACTAGGCCATACATGGAGAACTTAGTTGCTCCCAATTTTGTCTACTGGGGTACTTGGGTCAGCATAAGTGCCAGGGAAAGCATGGTCTCTAAGAACTCCTTTTCTCCAGTATCCTCCTTCTACTTTTACAGCATTTGCACTTTGTCTGGGGACAGACGGGGGATTCTGCTGCAACCCTTCAGACTCCTTACCTGAGCAGGCTTAAGGCTCAGTTGCTATGCTGAACTTCAACCAGGCTACGTGTCTTGGGTGAAATCAACAGCCTGCCGAGGACACCTAATCTGTGGTGGCTCACAATACCGTAGCCTCCGAAACAACCAAGGGACTGCCCCAGCATGCCATCACCCCAACACAAGCAGGACACACTTCAAATTATGCTTTTTTTGCTCTGAAGGTGGGAGTCTTGGTCATTTTGCTACGGTCAGATCACCACTTGCTAAGTTTCTAGAGGGTAGTGGGGGGGCTTCCTCGCTAATATACCTGGCACACCTATCAGATCCCTGGCCAGCCTCTGGAAGTTGAAGATGACACGGGAGATTCACACGATTATTTCCGAGTGTTCTCTCGGTAGCATAGCTCTATGGCATTGTAGTATACCCCACAAAACAGAAGACTGCTTGAGCAGAGATGTCAAAAAACTCTAGTGTGTGCCTAGAGTGAGTACACAGCTCATTAGACCAGGAAGCCTGTAATACCTGTTTGTAAGAGCAAGTGGTTCATGTTGCCTGAAATAAGCAGTAATGAGACCACTCACAATGAAACCTTGTTTGGACCCAAAAGATCTTAATAAATTTAGGCTTGTGGTCCTTGAGTAGATGGTGGCCAGCCAGCTCTAAACACTTTTGGATGAAACTGATTATCTGGATCTCTTTCAGTCGAGGCTCAGACAGGGTCTTGGCCCTGAAACAGTTTTTATATCATATGTGATGACCTATATCAGGAGTGGGAATGCGACTAGTCCTGGATCTCCTGGAAGCTTTGAGACTACTGACCATGGTGACTTTCTTGGGCAGCTTCAGAAGGTGGGCTGGCCCCATGGATTCATCAAGACGGGTTCCCCAGGGGCAGATTTTGTCTTCTGTCATGCTGCTCAGCATACAAATGAGATCAATGAGTGGAGTCATACAGAGTTTTGGAGTGGAACACCATCATATGTTGATGGCACACGGCTCTACTTCTTCATCTAACTCTATCAGGTGAGGTTTTGGATGTGCTAAATCAGCGCTAGGCTATGACAATTATCTGGATGAGATGCTGTTAGTGGGTAGTTCTCCTGGCCAGATGGAGGATGCTTAATCTGCTCTCAGTGGGGTTGCACTCCCCTTGAAAATGCAGGCTCATAGCCGGGGGGGCGGGGTCTTCCTGAAGCCATCTTTGTCATTTGAGGCCCAGGTTGCCACAGTGCTACCAACTTGACCTAGTGGCCCTGCTACACCCCCATCTGAACAAGGATGGCCTGATTTCGGAAATCTATGCTCTGGTAAATCTATGCTCTGGACTCAGATTACTGAAATGCATTTCACTTGGGGCTGACCTGATAGACTATTCAGAGGCTGTAGGTTCCTTCCAGGTGCAGAAGTCTCATAAATACAATGCTAATTCTAGCTTGCTTATATTGATCACCTGTATTCCTCTGAGCCCAATTGAAGGCCCTGGTTTGAAGTCCCTCCCGTGACCTTAATCTACCAAGGCACTATGCTCAAGTTTGAGGTCTTCCTCTGATGTCCAAAAAAGGCTTGGAAGGTAGAAACAAGAGGGCTTTCTTAATCATGCCCCCCTGATGGAACAAATGCCCCACTTGGTACCAACTCTGTTATCCAGGCAGTGCTATATGAAGATTGCCTTCTCTATCAAGGCGTTTACCAGTTTTTAGAACATTTGGAGGACTTATGTCAGCTGTTTTTTCTTGTCACAGACTTAGCTTATCAACTTGTTTTTTACCATATGGGTTTTTGTACTGTATTTTATTACAGTATATGAATTATGGTACTGGAGAGTTAAAAATGAAATGATAATAACAGCAGCAGCAACAACAAGGTGGTAGCTAGAGGTGAATACAGAATTATAGAATACCATAAAATATCCTATTCAAACTTATTTTTCTAATATTTTTATTAAAATATTAAGATGGATGAAATTCAGGCTTTTTGAAAACACACACACTTATTTCCATATGAGAACATCAATTAAAAATGAAATGGAAAAAACAGCCTTTGTTATCAGAAAACTGGAAGAAAATTGTGATAAAATACTTTCCTTCTAATATAAATTTAAACTCTACTACACTACAAAAAAAGAAACAATGAATATGTAACATCAACAAAGATATTCACATGTTTAAGCTTTTCAAATATACTAAACTTGAATTTATTTTTCAGTATAACTTGGTAAGTATGAAAAAAAGTATTCACCCCAGTGCAGAAAACCTTTAGTACAGGAGAACCATATCCATCTTCTTTCATGTCTGCCTCAGAGGGAAGATTAGCAGCTCTCTCAGGGACTCAGGCCAAGCTCAAATGATTGGGGAAGGGGGAAGGCCACAATGATGCTTTTACCTTGCCCTGAGCATGCAAGTTGCATCTTCATTTCCATGGGTACTCAGAACAGGCATGAGTTGCTTATCATCCAAGCCTAGCAAAAGCAGATGGTGATGCGTCTAACACACCCCAGAAGTCCCAGGAGTGGTGACTGGCAGCACGGACCTTCGGAAGCCATCCCTGCCCCTCTTGCTGTGTTTGGATGGGGCAGGTAATGAAGACAGCAAGCGATGTGAGGCTAGTGGGCACAGGGAGGGAAAAAGGTATCCCTATGACTTCTTCTCCTTCCCTGACTGCACAAATCTGGCCTCCCAGTTACTTACCAGTCCTGGGAAGTTTCTCACCCCCATAGGAAATCCCTCCCAAAACCCCATTTTATTAGATTCCCCCATCTCCCAAGGTGGGATTAGGGCGTTAATCTGGCACATTTTGTAAATGATCCACAATCCAAGTCCACTCAATCTGAATCAGTCCTACAAAAGTCAATAGAACTGTTAATGGTTTACTCATGAGTAAATCAGTTGTGAATGCAACTATCCTCTCCCATGTATAACAATTCAAGCTGTAGAAAATAAAATGTTATATGCACAGTTCACTTGCCTACCTGTTTAAGAATCTTGAGATATCCATTTAGCAATCTTTTCAGTTTCCAGCTACACTGTATCCTATTAAATAGAAAATATTTCAGATCACATAAATGTAGCATTTAAACATTTGAAAACAGAAATGGCTATGTTCTTCATTATTTTGGAAGGAAATAACCCACTCCTTTCCGCTCTTTCCCTGCCCTCCCACATATTCTTTATCAGAGCTAATGACATATTTTGTGTATGTTAAATGTTATTCAGTGTAAGACTTTAATACTTTAGAAGTAGACATAACTAGTATGAACCTATACAATAGTGTTGAAATCAGTAACTCCCATGAAAGAACCCAGCATGTGATTTCTAAGAATATTTACTATTTCTGACTATAATGCATTTGCAATCCTATCCAGTCTTCCCCAGTGTGGAATCCTACGGATATGTTGGGACTGCAACTCCCAAGATTCCTGATCATTAATAAGATTGGCTGGGGATGACCAAAGCTAAGTCCACAACAACTAGGGAGTAAGGCCACAACAGCTAGTTAGTACTAGGCTATGGAAGGCTGTTGTTCAATAGTCCCAGTGAACTTAGTGAGGCTTACTTCAAAACAAATATTATATTTTGAAATTAAGATTGGCAAAGTTATACATCTGAAATTAAAGTATGATGGTTAACAAATTAAAAGCATGAATGACACAAATAGTTATTGTGTGTTCTTTTAATAAACTTTAATTTTACTGTATTAAAACTTCAAAAAATTTGATACCGTCACAATTGGAGAACACATTTCCAAGATTCCATTTTGTTTACTGAAATAAAACTATAGACAGACATTTAACTTTGCTTCCCTAGATAATTTGTTTTCCTTCAGAGAAATTTATCTCTTCATCCTTGCTGGAAAAAAAATGCAGTGTAAAACATAACATCTCTAAACATGTTTTTACAACCTGGGCACTTTTTTCTTTAGAGATACATGAAGGCTTGTGAATGGTAAGCAGTTGAAATTTGGACATAAATTTAAAGCTTGTTAGAAAGGCTCCTATAAAAGTCCTTACCATCATACTGCCAATCTAAAAACAGACAGAAAAAGGTATGTGGAAAGGAAATAGTTATTCTGCAGGTAAAATGACCTATGTGCTATAAGTTGGACTACTTCTGTGTAAATTGTCCAAGGAAAAATCCACCAAGGGTTGTATTTTTGCCCCCAAAGACTGAACTGGGATAGGTATTTAACATCTATCTCCTAATAATATGTGTTAATGTTACACCAATCTTTATGATGCGGGTTCAAAAATGTAAATGTGTAATCTTCTGTATTTTCTACTGCAGTGTGAGGCACTTTTCTCTCCCTCAGTTTGCTGGCCATGGTTTACTCTCTGAATGCTACACTTTCTCCAGTGCCTATAAGGGAGTGATAGCATTCCTCAGCGAGATGACATCTGTTCATGTGGACAGAAAAATGTGCATCAATCATAATCTTATTCTAATTAAATAGCTTCATTAGTAAGGACTATAATTCAAGTTTAAAATGGCTGTTTGCCGTGTTACATACTGTGCCAACAACAATCAGTCATTTAAAAAATGTGCTGGGGCAGAAAGGTTTTCCTCATGTCTTCTCTGAAAGTACCTGCCTTGGCAAGAAGTATTATAGGACCTTTAAACAGGTGTACCTGTGCTTAAACCAGATTAAACCTAGTAGATTCAAAAGTGAACTAAGCTAAGCACAAGTATACTAAGACATGCAGCCTTAATCGATTTGGATATGTCTGATCTGTATTGCAACATTTGGTATCTCAAATCTTCACTGAAACATTCATGAGTATTTCATCTGTATTTAATAGAGTACTGTATCTGTATTCTATTAAAAATAGAAAGGGAACTAGTTTCCACTGACCATTCAGAGTTGCTAAGCCTCCTCTAACCTGTGTAACCAACCATTTCTATCTGTGTTTATACCTATTATGTCCATTGAAATGGAATACAAATTCCAGTCAATCTTTGCATCTCAGAGAACAATGCACTTTTCAGAACATGCACTGCATGGCATAAATTCTGAAACAAGAAACTGATTGCTGATCTACTGCCCCTTATAAACATCTTCATTAGAAGATGCATATAACTGTGTTGTGTTTCTGGAAGCCAAGTTCACTTTCAGAAATTTAAAATGTTGAACAAAGCAGGAGGAATTTCCTTCCACTTAAATTATATTTGTACACTTCAAAGTCTACTTAGGGCTACTACACTGATATTGGGGGTGGGGGGGAGACAGAGTGCATGCCCCACACATTCATATGTGTGAAAACTAGTTGCACATTTGATCTCCTTCAGACTGATACTGATGGCAATCCTTACAGATTGATCCATGTTATGCAAATTACTGTAGAATTAGAAAGCAGAAACAGGCATGTTGCATAACGATAAACTGTTTAAATGTTTCAAAGAAATGAGACAAAACACAAGCTGATGGGAAAGGCAAAAACAATAAACCATACAGTAAGAATTGCCAAGTTATGTTGTACTAGGTATATGTTTCTTCCTGCCATAAAATGCAATCTTTAGCCAAAGTATGATGCAAAATCTGAATGCTCTCATGAGAAACACTTTAATGACGACTTCATCCCAGTCTCCAGATGCAGCTGCAATCCGAGTTGATAGGCACCAGTTCAGGGTACATGGCAGCCACGTGCAATCTGAGTATGCTGTGGTTCTCCGCTTACGTTGTCTAGCTGGTGTACACAGATTCCCAGATTCTCCCGAACAACCCATCTCACAGGAAGGCTGAGATATGAGTGGCATGCAAGATCACCGCCTGAACAAACACTTCAAACAAGTAGTAAATCTGAAACATCCTAAACTTTGAAGCAGCCACATTTCCCTGCATTTTTGTGCATCTCAACCACCCTTCCATGAGTTCCCTCACTCAGCGTTGGAGGGGGAATGGTGTTTGACGAAGTCCCAGTACTGGACTGACTATACCTACAATACTGTTTCCAAAGGTTTGTCCAGGAAAAACATTTTAGTTTTACAAGAGTCATGTGCTAAATGTAACCATAACAGGGTGGATTTGCTCTCAGATCAAAAATATACTTCTAGGCCCATTCTTCTGTTGCTGTTTTCTGGTCTGCTGAATCAGCATGTGTTTGTTAATTCTCATACCCTGCCTTAATCTTACTGGTATCAAGATTAACTATTTACAAGTATACACAGCAAACTAAAATTGCGGATATCCTTGAAATTTCCTCAAACACAGCATGTTAAATAGAAATAGGCTATCCTGCAACATAGGAACCTGCAACTCACCTAGCATTTTTCAGCTGAAGATCTGACGGTAACAATATCCGTATGTGAAAGTCTCTGCCCTGGAAAAATAGTATCTCATTAGGTAGAATATCTGAAAATCTTGAACCAGTTTAAATGTTTAATCTTTTTTATTTATTTCTTCTCACTTAAGTCCTTTGGAAATAAAATCTATTTATTTGATTTATATGCCACCTGATTAGCCATAGGTGGGTGGCTTACATATAATCAAAACCACAGTACAATAAAAATCAACAGATGCATTAAAACCAATAACAACAATAAAATCAGCTACTAATAAATATGCTCAAACACTGTGGTAGCAGCTAAGGTGTCAGCACAGAGCTCTTATCCCCACAGCAACAACCCTGAGAGTTAGATTGGACTGAGAGCCTGCAACTGGCCCAAAGTCACCCAGTTGGCTCCATGGCTGAGCAGGGACTAGAACCCAGATGGTCCGAGTGCCATGCTCTTAACCCCTGCACCACACTGGCTCGCTTTTATTATTTTATGATAAAAATAATCAGTATACAGTCAACACAATAATCCTCATAGACAATTCTCTCTCTAGATATAGTTCGAGTACAATCTCATCCAAGCCTTCTCAGAAATATGCCCCATTGAATGTAATAGGACTTATTCCCAGGTATGTTTGTGTAAGATTGCATCCTCCAGTTCAGCTTCACAGTTTAACCGAACCCTTCCCAGTAATAGCCCCCATTGGCTAAACTTGGAAAACAAATGAAAAGTGTCAGGTTGCCCCAAAGCTTTTCATAAAACTCTGATCAAGAAAGTATTTCAGCTGTTTTGAAACTGTTATCAGTCAGCCAATAATTATTTCAGAATTTGTACAAAGGAATAGATGTTTCAGAAAACTGTCACAATGTAGTTTGATGAATAGAGAAGCACAATTAATGTACCTCATAACCTTTACCTTCATAGTATATTGTTACTTTCACTTCTGTTACATTTAAATGGCCTTTTTTATAAAATAAAAAGCAGATGTAATTCTGACCTTTGTAAAGGTCAAATAACTATGATTCAGTGTTTCATTAAAGTACTGAAAGATTCTTAAAAACACCTTTAAAAAGACATTCCTGTAAAGAAAAACAGTACCTTATGAAGATGTTGTAAAACCTAAGCACGCAATAGATTTGATAAAATGTACTTAAATGGGGAGGGGGGCATTTTGCGTTGCCCCTCCCTTTCTAAACTTTGACAGCATCTTGTATACAACTAGTTACTTCTTTATCTCCTTTGTTTTAAGAGAGAGAGCTAAAGAATTCAGACAGGAAAGTCCAAAGATTGTACTAGAGATAATGCCGCCGGTGGGGGAGGGAAGGTGGCATAAGACAAAGTCTCTGTCTGAAGGGACTTCTAGAAAATTAATGGAAGCAGGGATGAGGAGGAAGGACAGTGTGCGAAGAAAGTTAATTCTTCCCTCCATGCAAGGTACTCTCCCCTGCCCACATTCCTCGCTAGAAGTCCCCTGCAAAGAACACCCACCACCACCACCACTCTTGAAGTATGGAAACATTCAACTCACAGAGGCTTAGAGACAACTCTGCTGCCGCCTGAGCTTGCAGCTGGATCCAAAGATGCAACAGCATAAGGTGATATTGCCTTGGATTGGTAGATGGAGCTGTAATGCTTCAGAATAAATACCAACAATGGAGCAGATACAGTCCGTTCTAGTTCCATAGGATCCCACCTATCCCCCCACCCCCAATTCATCTGAAGATTTCAAGAGAAGGCGGCTGGATTCACACAACACAGCAAGATTGAGTTTGGATTGAATGTGGGTTGCCATCAAACCAGGATTGTTGTTGAAATGTGTGTTGGATGATCACCCACTGTGTTCACCAGAAACCATCCGCAGTTGACAACCCAAAAAAACAAACCATGCATCCTGTGTGGATTGTGATTTATAAGCAATGCTTTGTGGGCTCGCACAGCATACTCAGCCATGGTCCAGCGACAACTCATAATCAACCTGGAGTGTAGATTCTTGTGCTGTAAAGGGAATAGACTGGATTTCCACCACAGCTTCATCCCCTGCCTACAAGGAATAATACAGTGACGAGTGGAGGGCCAGTGTGATGCAGTGGTTAAAAGAGCAGGACTGGGACCCTGGCAAACTGGGCTCTAGTCCCTGCTTAGCCATGGGGCCAACTGGGTGACTTTGGACCAGCCACAGATTGGGCCAAACCTAACTCACAGGGTCGTTGTTGTGAGGATAAGACTGAAAGCAGGAGGAGGAGGATGCAAGCCACTTTGAGTTCTTTGTTAAAAGAAGAAGAAGCGGCATATAGATCTAATAAATAAGCTGGTCTCATCCATAACACAGGAAGCATGGCTTCTCACCTCCCCACAAGAGAAAGCATAAAGTGGCAGTTGCTCTGGGATCAGAGAAGTAAGGGGTAACGGTCCTTCTGCGGCCATCATCTGGCTAGCCAAGGCCTGCTGGGGCAACTGCAGTGCCTGGAACCAAGCAGGGACAGCAGCAACACAAGATCAGTCAAGCCCCAACTGGAAATGTAAATGCTACTGGTCAAGTGCTTCCCCTTGTATCCACTACCTTTCCTCTCCTCTTTAATACAGAAAATAGGATATGAGCAGTTTTGAGGGACATGATTTCCATGGAAAGTAAAATAAAAATGGCTTCCTGGCCAAAACATTCAGCTGCTATCTGATTCTTTTAACTGAGGACGCCAGAGATAGGTCAGCTCTGCATGCAAACTATGTGCTCCGCCATTGGGCTTCTGATCCCTTGCAAACCAGCAACTAGAGAAACATGGGGTGTGGGAGGGACACATTGTCTGGGTTCAGACAACACAATAATTCAACATTTTCCCAACCTGGGGGTCTTCAGAGGCATGTGGACCTCATCTCCCAGAACTCCCAACCAGCAGGACCATTGAGTGGGAATTCTGGGTGTTGGAGCCCAAACATGTCTGGAAGGCACAAGCTTGGGAAGACCACAATAATCCATTGCAAGGGCTGAATGCGGGTTGTTGCTGAGCCATGCATTATCATGTTGCCTGCAGCCAATTAATAAGCCATAGCTTATTAACCATGAACAACTCATGAAGAAAACCCATTTTCCCTTGGCTGTGAATTGTGGGCTATCTCTTTGGTTTATCTCCATTAGATTCGAACAACAAAACACGTTTCCACAGCAATTGGCAGTCTGATGACAAGCTACATTCAATCCTCAACTGGGGGCTATTGTTATTTTAACACAATCATAGAGAATGTCCTCATGCCAGGTTAGCCTATTTCTTCATCCTTCTGGTGCAATGTTATATCCTTCAGGGGAAGTGGAGCGATAGCTCTCCAGATGCTCCAGGATTCAATTCTCAGAAACACTTACCAGGGGTAATATCTCCAGGGATATTAGCAGCTGGAAATCTACAACATCTGGAGATCCGCCTTATTTACCTGGCCTGGAGTAACTCAGCAGTTATGGGGCCAATGCCAAGGAGGCGGTGCTCCCAGGAGCACTAGTCTCACCTCGGAGCTGGAAGGCATCCAGAGCAGAGCCTCCCCCATGAGGAGGATGAACGGGGGTGGGCACACCCCCGGGGCCTTCCGGGCTATCAGCTCCAAGCGGATGGATCAAGACAGGCAGCAGTCAGGATCCTGGAAGTCCAAACCACCTGCAGATCGTCCTACCCAAACAGCAGCAGCTCTCATGAGAAAACGGCGAGAAACAGCCCGCAGCCCTTCTAGCCTACCTCGCAGGGGTGTTGTGAAGAAGGGTAGATATAGGCACCCTTGCGGAAGGGGGAAAGCGGCGTCTGCGCGACCACTGCCCTCGTGCTCGTGAGGGGCCGGGGCCCTGTACCTGGACGGTGACGAAGCCCTCGTAGACGCTCCCGTCCCGGGTCTGCGGGAGCAGCAGCGGGCACTCGCGCAGCAGCGCCCCGGGCCGTGCCGCCATTTCCGCCCGCCCGCGCCGCCGCCACAACGCGGCGCCGAAACCGCAAACTTTCCGCTGCCTCTCCCACCGCACCATCGCCGGGAGTCCCGCCAGAACGACGCATGCGCCGCCTCGCCTCTCTGAGCCCCCCCCCCCAACGACCGGGAGGAAGAATTCGGCACGGCGCATGCGCGTTCCAGACACCCCGTCACGTCCCCCCGCGTTCGGAGTGCGACTGACGCTAGGCGAGGCTCCCGTCAAACAAGGAGGGATCAGCGTGGGGCGGGCGCGCCAACCAACAACGGCAAAGGAGGGGGAGAAGGGAGGATGAGCCACGGGCGCGCGCGCTCTGCTCGCGAGCGGCGACGGGTATTGCCCGTTTCGAACGCTCGCGCCGCTTGCTGTGATTGGGGGAAGCGCCGCGGCGCGCGCGGGAGAAGCCGCGAGGGGGCGTGGCTGCATGGCGGCCCCGCCCCTCTCCTCTTCCCCTCAGTTCCCTTTCGGGCGGCCCTTCGCCGGCGCTTCTTGGCGGGAGCAGCGAAACGGCGCCGGTGTCGCTGGCCCCGAAGCCGCTTTCGCTCCCGGCTCTTACCCAGGAGCGGTTTGCGCGTTGTTCCCTCATTCCCTACGCGGATAGGAGAGCCTTCTCTATTGACCTGGAGTAAATCCTGTGGGATCCATGGGCGTACTTCGGAGGACACGGTCCGCCTTCTCTAAAAGAGCCCCCAGTAAACCTCTCTGTCGACTTAAGAGATCATAATATTCATCAGATAGGTGAATCTGTGATGTGGAGTTACGGCAGGGTGTTAACCAATGTCAAGGACTAAGAAAGTGGCCCACAAGGAAGCTTCAAAGAGAATGTATAAAGATCAAGAAATTAGGCAGAAAATAAGAATGTTATTTGGGGCATAAAATGAGAAAGAACCAAAAAAAGTTGCCCCTGATCTTTTTTTATTCTTATCTCTCAATGTGCTGTACCTGACAGTGACTTTGAGAATGGCTTGGAAACTACCGGAGGTGCAAAACGCAAGTGTCTAGTCCCTGTGGCTGGGCCAGTGGGTTCTTCATGCAACTGCATGGCGTCTCCAAAAAGTGGCAAGAGGAGCAGAGATCGTCAAAGGCGCAAAGGATTTTGTGCCACCAAATCCATCACACTCTTCTTTCCCCACTCCACCCCTTGGGGTAAAAACTTAATAATGTGAATGTTCTTTTGTGGATGGGACAGAAAGCATTCAAATATGATCTGCCTGCCCTTTGAACAATTTTTGACAGTCTCATTCTGTGCAATGGCTGGGATTCCCCTGGCATTTGCCTGCCCTGCGGTTTCCAGGCTTTAGTGTGCTTTCTTTCTCCTGAAAAGTTGGAATACCTCTCTAAAGTTAGTGGCAGTAAGAATTGTAGGGAGCATTACGCATGTTTACACAGCAAAACGCCCCACAGCTCCCAGCATTTGCAGGCAGACATAGCCTTGCACCCCTAAGATACAATATTCTGCTTTGCTCTTTTCCTTTAGTCTTTTCAGACCCATCATCAGACCCACCCCCCTCCATGACACACAGGCAGCAAGCCAGTACAGTAAGAATAGAAGAAAGAAGAGATGTAAGATTTATTATTTTGTCCTATCTTTTCCCAAAGAGGTGACATATATGGTTGCACAGAATGCCACCAGCTAATCTGCAGTCCATGGCAGCCCAGTGAGGTGAATTGGGTTGAGATGTCATTGGTGGTAGGTAAGGAAAAGTCCGGGATTCAGTTCAGCAGAACAACAGCAAAAAGCACACAGTTGTATATGCCAATTTACATAAGCTGGAAAGTCTCTCAATCTCTCTTTGCCCCCTGACACCACCTCTGGTCTGAGAGACAGCGACTGGCCTAAAGTCACCGAATGAACTTAGTGGCTGAGCTCAGCTTTGAATGCTTAACTATAAAGATGCTTCAACTACTGGGTAGCATTGCCTTTCAAAGCCCCCCCCCCCCCGCAAAAAAGTGTACTACTCTACAATGAGCCCTCCTTAGTGTGTGGGTTGCTATATATGCACCTTTCTCTGATTTACAATGCTGGTATTGTTTATAATGAATATGTATGTCACTGCTGATTTGATAATAAGTGTGCGTGTGTGTGTGTGTGTGTGTGTGTTAAGACAAACAACCACATTTTCATTTAATGGGAATCAGAATTAACAGGGACGCTGCATTTTATATCTAGTTCCAATTTCTTTGCTAGAACAGGAATGTGGAGGGCATGCTGGCATGGAAATAGCTGTTCCTTGTGCATGTATATTGCAGCATCCGTGGTCCTTTGTACCTGTTTCTCTAAAAAGCCTTGATTTTTATCTGTGCACATATGCAAAACACGATCTTGGTTCCCCAGAATTATTTCTTCTTGGCAGGTATCCAACAGCAACCATATAAATCAGCTGCCTTCTACACATAAAGTACATAGGTTCTCCAATGCCTCATTTACATCTCCTTGAATTATAAAAATATTCCCTTTGCAGACATTGGCAACACTGGAAGACCAGACCAATCCATATGCTGTACTGATTTGGAAGCCCCACAAGGATACTGTTAATCCTTTTCAAACCTTGAAAATACTTGGAGGTTTTCCAAACTGTCCACTGAACGTTTTCCCCTCAGAAATGGTAGGTGGGGAATCTGACTCTCCAAATAAGACCTTTGGCTATATTCTTTTACACCAATATAATTACTGTTTTCCTGTTGCTTCAAATCCTTCTTCAGCATGAGCTTTTCCAACTATCACAACTGCATATTTCCAGTTTCTTCTGCCCATTTTATGTTCGAACGTAGATACATAGGGAGATAAAAGACACAGGATGTCAGTGAATTAGCTAGGTAGATATGAACATCTCTCAAAAAGTAAATGCATTGCACCTGAGCTATTTCTGCAGGATTGGGATCAATTTCTCTTTTATTGGAATTGGTCTTTACCTAGAAACTTCGTAAATGATACAAGTTTGCATTTGTTTGTTACCTGTTCTTTTCATTCTACACATGCGATACAATTTAAATAATTGTTTTACCATTCCTAATTCATATTTGTGTTATGCAGTCTTATAAATAAAAAAGGCTGAGAAGCAGAAAAAAGAAAGAGGCCCAGAGTCCTTGAGTAAAGAAAGAATCAGAGCTAGAACTGTACAACTGACTGAAAGAATTGGACCAATAAAACCAAGATATCCTTGAATAAGAAACCTGGAAAAAAATAAGGACACTGTTTAATGAAGTTAGAGGAATGTGTTTATCTCTGATTGTTTTATTACTCCATTATGTGCTTTGTGTATTGTGCATTTGTTGAAACGTTTTTTTCCTATTAAGCTTTTTTCAGTAGAATTTTAAACTTCATTATTTGAAACCTTGTGGTCTTTTTCTTTTGAGGTTACCCACCCCACATTTAATTGTCATCCCCTACACTGCCTGAAGCCCAGACAGTTTTAAGACTATTTTGGTGGAAGAAGCCAATAGAAAGAACAGCTTTCTATATGATAGCATCAGAAAAAGGCCATAGGAATAGAAGGACATAAAGGAACATGAACACATGTTTTGCTTGTTTTCTCTTCCACTGACAGAGCAGGACATTGCTGGTCCGCGACATCAGGTATAAACCATATTTTATAGCAAAAGGAACAGCTGATGGAATATGTGGCTTCACAAGGGTAAAAAACAGCAACAACCAGAAAGCTGAGGCATTCCAAGTGTATATTTGAAAAGGAAACATTTTAAGAAATGGCGCCAAACAGTTCTTGCATTGTAATACTCTACGTGAATAAACTAGAGTCTTTGACTGTGAAGATGACAAAAAAGGCAGCACCATTAGCAAAAAGATATTTACAAGTTGTGTCTCTTCCATTTTCAATGTAATTTTAATTAGCTGGACACTGGGGGTGGGGGACGAATATAGAATGCCTGCATCATGTATTTTCTCTTTAAATTGCATTTCATCTTAATTTTATGTTTGTGCTTATTTTTTTCCTCTTTCTTTTGCTTTATATAATCCTGTGATCAGGCTAAAGTGGTTTTCTCTCAACTAATTCAGTGTTCCAAGTTCCAAGTTTTATTATTTTGTTTGCCAGAACTCTGCAGATAACTTTCCGAACCCTTTGGCTGTGTGCTGAAATAGCTTTCCTCACAATTGTCATAAAATGCTCTTCCAGATATTTTAGTTAGCTTCCACTGTACCGCAACGTTTGGCCCATGTGCTTTTCCATGCAGTTGTCACACTTAAAGAATGATCAGGAATTGATATCTGGAAATAGAGTTTCCAGGGATTGAAGAGAGAAAGTGCATCAGCAGAGACAATTCCTTTGCTCACATATACAAACCCTTTCAGGGAGAGGAGGCCGTGAAAGAGTCTGTCTACTGAGCTGTTCCGCAGACTCTGCACTCAGGAAGAGAAAGCTGGTATACCTGAATCGACCCCCTTCTGCTCTGTTGGGTTACCCAACTGAAGCAGGTGGCCCAAGGCAGAAAGCTGTGACAGCACCGTGCAGGACAAATAAGCGCATGCAATGCACTTCAGATCATGGATTAGTTACAGGTATGACCCACCTTTCCTGCAAGGAGTGCAAGATAACCATTTTATCCTCCCAACAACCCAGTAAGGAAACTTGGTCCAAGAGGCTATCCCAAAGTCATCGTCAGAGAAGAGTGGGGAGTAGCACCTGGGTCTTCCTGATCCGTCATGGTGCGATTTCATCTTGCTGGCTCCTGCCATTTCATTTATTAGTATTTATAAATTGCTTATGTCTAAAGTTTCTGGTGTACCCGATTCAGAGAAACATAAAGACAAATACTTAGAATTGTAGCTACATAAAATGGTGAGCTTCACTGCACAGGAAAGGCCTCCGTTATCTGATGGGAATTCAGCATCTACCTAAAAATAAGTATTGTTTCATATCTAATGCCAGGGGCAAGTTTATTCTATGCTGTGAGCTGTGTGCAATGCTCTGCTCTATATGGCTACAGAGTAGATCTCAGAAATGCATGGCATCGCTCCGGTGCCTTCT